ATAAGGAAAAAAGTTTTCTCTCATCACATTGAGATATCTTGACTTTCTAGCTCTATATCTATAACATTACTGTATGCAGGGAAAAAAGGAACTAAAAATCCCACTTACAACCTTAATGGTCACCAAACAGAGACAGATAATGTCTTCAAGGGATTCAAAAGTGTTACGAACACCAGTCTGTGGCAAAGCCTAACCAGTAGTCTCCACTGTTACACTGACTCATATCATTTGGTTGTCCAATGTACCTACTAAACAACTAACATGATTTCACAAATACTGAATACTAGTGCTTGCAGTCTGGTTTTGGTTGGATGTCATTTCCCAAAAACTGCCACCTTCAAACTCTAAAGAACTTTCGCCTTGTTTGAACTGTCAGCCAGCAACATTTTTCAGATGACTTCATTTGCAGATGGGAATTCATTTCCTACAGAGTTGAGATCAGCAAGAAAAAAAAAGATGAAAAAACAGATTTCCCTAATGCCCCAAAACAAGGTTTTAACAGAAAAACAGAAAATTAAACAGAAAAATTATTAAAATAAAAGTCTGGAAGTTAAGCAAGGACTTTTGGGAAGATGGAAGATCTTGGGACAACTCTGCAAAACACTTGTGTCTCTGGCAAAATGAGCAAAGTGCTTCACAATGGTCTCCACATTATGGTAAACAGACCTCCCATGTAGCATCATTTTGTGTGCTGGTATCTACAGTGCTAGAACAGCTTAGGGACAGGAGAGCGCCAGCATTTTCCTGCGCATCCTGTGTCCTGGGGATCGCAGCTGTGAAGGAGAGCAGGGAGCACTTTCTGTTGCATCTCTCAAATATAGTCCTGAATGCAACATCTGTCATTAAGAAATATTTCTTAGGCAGACTCCATACCCCCCTTTTCCATCTGATAATCATCTCCTTGTGTTTGTGGTAAGTCAACATCCTTCATCTTTGCCTTATGAGGAAAAGCTATGGCTGCAAGCACTGCAAAATTCCCTCAGCGCTTGCAGATCCCTACGATAACAAACAACAGAAAGGATCTAACAGGGTTTTTTCCTTTCCTTACAGAGACAAGCACTTCGCTCAAAAGAAGGCAGCTCCCATACCAGCCTTCTGTCCGTACTATCTGCTAAGTTCCAGCACATGCTTATCTCTCAAATTTGGCAATGAAGAAAGGAGACATATGATGCTGCACTCTTCATTTCTGGCTGTTGCAGGGGCAGGAAAGGGCAGAGTTTGTATAACCCAAGTCATCACACACCATGGATAAACACTAACGGGTAGCCCTTATTTCCTTTTGGCTATGAGGTGTTTGGAGCAAACTCAGAGACCTTTCTTGACTGCAGCATCTCACTGAAGTCCCAGTGTCCCATATGTGCTGTTGCACAATGGAGGGGGCTGGCCCCATACTTGTGCTCCTGGGGTAACTGAGCAATGCTGAGCACGCACACCCAAGGTCTAGGGGGGCACAGAATTGAGCTCAGCAATTTGTTCCACCATCTTCACTCAGGCAAAGCTTTCAGTGATTTATAGGAGTGTGGAGAGAGGGCTTAAGCTGTAGCTTTGTTTAAACGTTCACATACAATTGTTTTTCCTGGAGCTCTGAATAAAGTGTCACCATGCTTCTCAACAGGGAAAAATTTTTGGATAAGCTTTCAGAGAAGCTGAAGAAACGTTATCCAGACACAATTATTAAACCTGGCTTCAGTTTTGATAGCAGAGCTGCCTTTGTTGGACACATTTTCTGTCTTTCCCACTTTCCTCACCACTCCCCTCTCTTCAAATGGGGAGTTGGTGCCCTCTGACATTGGATAGGCCCAAAGGAAATGCTGCTTCCTCATGCCTGCCTTCTCTGTTAACAGCAGCTACAGAGAGAACCCAGGGAAGCCATGTGGGGCCAAATCTACACAGAGACAGGGCACAGAGATGAGAAATAATGTCATCTGCTAGGAAGTGGCAAGAGGACAGCAGTAGTGTTTTCTTACTTTTTCCTCTAAAATATACCTTTCCTATAGCTCACTATAACTGACTGACCATAACACTCATTCTGTTTTTCACTGTGAAAACAAAGAGGAGCAGGCAGGCTTAAAGCTGGCAGAAAGATAAATTGATTTAGGAAATATGAGGAAAACAGTGAGAGAATAACAGAGAAAGAGAGGGTAAGAATATAAAGGAAAAGTTGGAACTATGGAGCTTAGAAAAAGACCTGTGGAAAATTAGAAGGCATAGGAGGAAGAGCAGCATTAAAAAAACAAAAGAAAGAATATGGGGAAAATTATGGCTACTACAGCAAAAAACAGAGAGAGTTGAGACATTTTGAAAGGAGGCATAGAGCAGTTTGAAAGGGTGTGAATGGGAAAGAGGAAATGCAAGAAAGGGAACCAATACAATGTTACCTGTTGCTGTTGCACAGAAAATGAAAAGTGTGTACACAAACACAAATGGAAACCTTGACCTTATCAGAGCAAATAGGACAGGGTGTCACAGGACACAATTTCATCCTTTGTATCAAAGGTAGATGGGTCATGTGAGAAAGCTCTGATCATTCCTAAGAGAACAGTTTTCCTTCCTAGAATCTCTACAGCTTTGAAGCATTTCCTTACCTCACATTACTACGTTATAATATGAAGAGGCAGGCTGTGATTTTGTTAGCTGCAAAGGGCAGACATTTCTCCTCTTTCCTCCTCTACACACCAGGCCTGTCCCTACAGGCACAAAGGATTTATTCTTCCCTTCACAAATTACTTTACCAGCTGAGGAACTGTAATAGCTGCCAAACCCCTCAGAAGTCTGAGACCTCTGCCCCATCCCAGCAAGGACTGAAATGAAGCAGGGGACAGAGGAAGTGAATTATTTTGAAACAAGTGCTGGGGAGGGGATAGATGGACTAACCAGGACATGCACTGCAGAAGCAAGCAGAACCCAGGCTGAGAAAAGCTGGCAAGGGCTGATGTAGGATGAGCCATTCCCTGCACCATGCTCAGACATAGTTTTTTGGGAACCTCTGTTGCAAGGGTGAACATTGCAGGTTAGAGGTCTCATCACTTTTCTTCCTAACTCCTGTAATTCGGAGTCAGCCTATGGCTGCCAACACTCCCAGCAAAATCAGACATTGAACCAGGTTTTGGGTTGGCTCCACTTGTAATTTGGGGTTGCCTGTGACCAAAGTTGCTGTCACACAGTCTGGTTCGAGTTCAGCCAAGGGTCTGAAACAGCCCTGCTTTGGGCCTCACTCAAGGAAAAATCTGGAACAGGTTTTCAGCCTGACTGCTCTGTGTGTGTGTGTGTGTGTGTGTGTGAGCAAAGCTCCTCTGTGCTTGCTTGTCGCAAAAAATGATGAATTGCAGAAGTACCCATTTGGTGTTAGTCATTTGGTGCAGCAGGAAGGAAGCAGGAAGCCCTTGTGAGCATTAACTTTTCAAAGCAGTTTGCAGAAAAAGCCAAAGCTCTCCTCCCCTGGGCTACACAGCCACATACTGATCTTTACCTCCTCACCTCGAGGGGCACCTAGTCACAGCTAACATTCGCAGCTCCTTCAGCGGAAGTATTTGCCCGGTGCAAACAGCTGAGGCATTTGGTGCCAGCCCTTTCCCTGTGCAAGGCGTGTTCAAAGGGGGGAGGGAAGAGGAGCCTTACACTTGCCAAACGGGAGAGGTCTGATTGCACTCAACAGGTTCAGTTCACGCTGTGACCCTGCCCGGCTTCCTGCTATTCAGATGTGTTACTTCCCCTTTGTGGTAATGGCCTGTGGCAGCCGGCCAGAAAACACTATTAATTTCAGAAGTGGCCTGACAACAAACCCATAGCGAAACGAGAGGAAGTGGCGGGGAGGCCATCTGTTAACTTCAGCAGAACAGTAGGGACACAGCTATGTAGGTTCTACAAGGAAAGCAGATTAATAATCCACAAAGAGGAAACTGGCTAAAATTATCCACAGACCATATTAAAAAAAAAAAAAAAAAAAAACCAAACCAAAAAAACCAAACAAGGGAGTCACTTGAGCTGCAGCTGGACAGGAAATTGCTAGAGCTGCTTGCAAATCTCCACTTTGAACAGAACAGCATAGGGAATGCCAAGAGCGGAAACCGTTCAAAACTGGATTAGCACAAGCCAAGTTTAACTGCAACCCACTTCTACTTTCACAGTTTATGCACTCAATCTAGGCCACTGCATGAGACACTGACTCACTTTTTTCCCATGTTTTGTTTGCATTTCATTTCACACACTTGCAGTTTCTAAAATTACTTCAAATGTGCTTTGGCTGCCAGGAGTTCTGCAGTACCTCAGCCGACAGCCCCAGCCCCTCGCTGTGGTACTGCACACAGATTTTTGCACCACCCTGCCTTGGGCCAGTTATCATCAGGAAGGATGTTAATGAATATAAGTTGCAGCAGGAAGTTTTGCAATTGCTGTAATCCCCCTTTTTCCTTCTGCAGAGACAGAACTGCTCAAAGGGTCCAAAGAGGAAATGAGGTGACTAAGGGTATATATAGACTTTTCCTCCTTGCCTTCATTAAGTTGCAAGGTGGCTGAATGGCAGCAGAAAAATCATTTACAGGCTGCAGACTGTTGATGAATCTCTGTGAAATGAGTTCCTGCCAGACAGCTAAGCAGAGCATGAACCCATCTCCTGGCATCTGTAATAGAGTGACCAGAATTCATAAACAAAGCCAGAAAACAACACCTCCTTACTCTTAGTAATAACGAGGAAAAAAAAATTATGGCCCAAAGTCAGGTGCATCCCTAGTATAGCAAAGAGATGCTGGAGTATTTTGCAAGTAACCTACAGGTCTTCAAAAGCATTCCCTTCACCAAAGCAAAATGAGAATCTAGCACATTCACTGTTTATTCATTTAGGCACCAGTGGACCAAAGGGAAAATGAAGGTTTTATTGTCTTAGGGGGATGCACAAAAGCTATTGAGAGCAATTATTGCCTTTAAACATAACCATATGGGTATGTGCAATTAACCACAACTACACTGAGGGGAAAGGGGGAATAAACCAGCCAGCTTCTCCATAGCCAAAAATAGTTATTTATTTATTAATAATTTAAGGTTTTACATTCTTATAATAAATTCCATCTTAAAACTTTTACACTGTAGATTAGACTCTCCCTTATTGGCAACCATGTGCAGGTTCACTGTGCGTACACACAGGTACAAATGCTCGCACATACTTCCAGTTTTATACAAAAAAAAAAAAAGACGCAAAATATTGCATTTGAGGTGAAGCTCCCTGAAGAATTTGTACAGAGGTAATGCACTGTTTAGCACATCTGAAAGTTTTAAAAAGTCATCAAAAATCTTTCGCATTCAAAGACAAACCTCCTCCCAGATGATCTATTTACAAAAGGTAAGGCAAAAAATTAATTTAATTTAAATATATATATATATGTGTATATATATATATATCATATGGAACCTACATCAAAAGCATGTGGAAAAAAAAAATCACCACAAGGAAAAGAAAGATATATGAAAGAAGAGACTCCCTCACAAAACCTGATCTGCAAACTTCTCACCATTGCCATTTCTCCCTCATGGAAAGCTTGCTTCAATGAAATTCAGCATGCTACAAATATATTCTTTGCAATTAAAACAAACAAAGAAACAAAGCAAATTTATGAAAAGAACAAAAACACAGGTGTCCCTTGGATTGATTTCTTGAGTACATGTGAATTAAGAAAAAAAAGCAAATAAATTTAAGGTTAAATATTTACATTGATCAAGTAAAATACTACCAAGCTCCTAGCAAACAAGTACTCCAAATACACTAAGCTGAAATCTCTTTCTTTGGCTCCTCTAAATTAAAACAAACAAACAAACAAAGATAACCAGTCTTCATTGAAGACAAAGATGTGTGTCACAGATCTGAGAGCAGAGGGCAGAAGGGACAGTTCCGGCCTCTAGAGAACACGTGCCCAGCCTGTCCAGCCTCACCCCAGCACACGGCAAGTCCTCGGACCCGGCTACTGCCCAAGCAGGGATGGACACACTGCCCACCTGCTGCCCGGGGGGCACCACGGTGCTGCCCCACGTCCCCTCCCTTTGCAAGAGCCGATTCCACACTGTGTAACCTTTCGTTGCCTGCACTGGCAGCTGCCTGTTAACAGCAGAGGCCAGAAAAAGAGAAAGCTGCATTTCTTTATCACTGCCAAAGAGAAACCATTGAGGAGTGATCCCATGAAATGGACAGGAGAAGGGAGGTGGTGGGAGCTCACGTGGACTGCAAGGAATCCACCTGGAAGACGTTCTGGTTGGAAGGGGTGGTGAAGTACAGCTGCTGGTTCGGCACTCGGTTGTCACAGGGGCTGCTCAGTCCCAGAGTCCGCTCAAAGTCCAGCAGCTGACCCATGAAGTTGAAGTTGGGTGAAATGTTGGACTTCTTCATCTTGACAATATCATAGGCATCATTCATGGACAAGTTCAGCTTCTGCATGAGGTAGGCCACCGTCACTGTGACCGAGCGGCTGATCCCTGCTAGGCAATGCACCAGGACGCCGCAGTTCTTCCCCCGTGCTTCATCTGTACAAAGAGGCAGAGAAGCACACGTAAGACAGAGGGTTGGTAACTGATCTCTCAACACAAATGAGGTTAGTATCAAGTAGGAAGAAAGTAGAGTTCTGGTCCCAGTGGCCAGCAGTGCAACTCAAGAGTTAACTTTAGCGGCTTAAAACCAGGACAAGAGAGGAATCCACTCCCCCTACTACCCAAGTCCAAGAGCTGAGAAAACTAAGAATGAGACAAAGGGAGCAGGAGACGCTGCATGACACTGTTTTAAAAGCCAGGTTTAAAAGACAGGCTTTTTGCCTGGAGATTTGCCTTTAAATTCTTACAGTCCCCTTGCCCCAGCATGGAAATCCTGCAATATGTCACTGAAAGGCTTTATACAGATCAGCAGACTGCAAAGGTCTATTAAATTATTCTCCAACTGTTGTGCAGCTAACAATGGAGGTATTCAGGCATTTTAAAAGAATGAGGGAAGTCACAGGGGACAGCCCATTAGGAGGAACAGGATGTCAACATTGGTTGAAAATGGGTTCCTTTGTAATAGGAAATGCATTACAATGCCTGGAGATTAGTTTCTTTGTGGCTTCTAGCCCACATTTCTTCCTGCTAGGCTCAGATTACCTACATTCTCCCCTATTACCGGTATCATTCAACCGGATTACAGCACAGCTTCTCAACAGATAATGCAATGCCCACCCCATCGCACCCCGATGGGGCAATTTGAGTCCTCCCCAAAACGAAGGAGAGTGCAGATTTTCACCAGAACTCCTTGGGCCCAAGGGTACTGATTTCCGTCTGAGGGCCGGCTGACCGAGGCACCGAGCCCGAGAGGTATATCATTATTACCACGAGATTTAAATTAAACTCTGGCAATATATTTGCCAGGGACACCGCTTATTCATAACTTGCATTAAAAAGCTAAAGTTAGATTCCCAGATCGTTTCTTTTTATTATACTGCTCTTCAGTAACCTCAAGGAAAAAGGAAAAAAAACCCCAAATACCCAAAAGCAAACAACCCCAAAACCATCAACAAAGAAAACGATCGAATAAGCTATCGACCCCAGGTTCATTTGCCCCCCACCCGCCAGGAAATGGTTTAAGAAGATCCCCCAACATGCGCAGAGCTCAGTCCCCAGCTCCAACACAAATGACTCAAGGAGGAATTCCACAGCCAGACAAATCAGGTATGCCTGTGCAACCCTGCAAAGGTCGCTTACAATTCACCGGGACTTCTCAATAACCCCCCCAAGCAGTCCCCGACAGTCGCTCAACTTAAGCCATCTTTAAAATCAGAGAACGGGGCATGCCCCAGAGACGGCCATAAATGCTGCTACCGCTTCTCGCCCGAAATTCACGAATTCTGCAAGATATAACGAATTCTGCCTCTTGACATGCAGATGTTAGCAAGTAACCGGGTCTTACCTATAAATGAGATGGCCTCAGGAAAGAACTGAGACAGATTTTGGCTCCAGTGGTCAGAGATCGGGATCTGTTTGTACTTGAATTCACCGGCGTTTTCGAAGAGATTAGGCAGGTTAGGAGTAACATTCAAGATGTATTTAATGCCGAACTCTTCTAAAACATCCAAATTAGTGGAGTCCTTGGCACAGCCTAAGTAGAGGTAGGGTAAAATCTCCACCGGAAAGGAAGGCTGGTTGTTGGAAAGAGGGCTGCCATCGGAGTCGGTGGCACTATTGGGGTCTCTGTCAATGTCAGATTCAATGTCGGATGATGAATCGGAGCTGATTCGGAGGCCTCCCAAGCCCAGGACTGGCAAAGGAGGAGAGCTGCTGCTACACGAACTGTCTAGGTTAGTTTCACAGTGCAAGGCGAACTCGGCCTGGAACTTGCTAAAACCACCTGGAGAGAAAAGCAAAGAGGAGAAAATGCAACCTGATATAAGATGGCATGTCGACTTCCCTGGTACAGCCCTGCCTGCAAAGGAGCGTCTACTTTGCACCCTCTCGAGCTCCGGCAAAAAGAAGAAAAAACATGTCACACTCTCAACGCAGACAGACTAACTTAAAGGAAGGGTTAAGAAAATCGTCCGCTGCGGTGGAGGGCTCAGCACATTCAAGATTAAAGCTCTGTACCGCTTTGCCCTGCGGGGACCGCTGGAGAGGTATCTCGGCGGCAATTCCTCCTGCCAGGCTCATGCCGGAATACCCGTTAGCCCTGTCCTCCCCACGCTGCCATAGTGATTTCAGACATCAAGCTTTCTTTAAACAATGCGAGGATAAGGATAGGGGGACGGAGGGGGGGAGAGGTGTGGAGTAGGGGGAAAGCCCCCTTCCCAGGTCGGTGCTCTCCTGGAGCATCAATCCACTTCCCGGGAACGCTGCAGACCGCTTCGCCCCCTCCCTCTTACCCGGGCAGAGATCTCTCTCCCAACCCTTGGCGGCCCTTCTCACCTTCCAGATAAAATGCCTTGCAGCCTTCATCTTTGAGGCGCTTGAGGAGCAGCCCTAGCACGGACTCGCCGCCCGTGTTCTCGTTCCAGTCGCGGCTGTGCTCGTCGTACAGCACTACGGTGTCGGTGCCGCACCGGCGGGCGAAGCGCTCCCGGTCCTCCTCGCTGCTGGCGACGAGGGACCGCAGGGGCAGGTTGCCCTTCTGCAGCCGCCGCAGCATGATGCCGGGGATGGCCACATTGATGGCCGACTCGATGTGGGACGACTCGTACAACTCCTGCGGCCGACAGTCCATCAGCAGTAGCCGGTCGTTGCCCATCTCCAGCTGCTCGTTCAGCCACGCCACGGATTTACTAATCGCCATTTCCGACGCGAAAGGGACGGGTCTGAACGTATCTAGCATGAGGAAGGACGGGGGGAGCGGAGCGTACTCTGGAAGCGCCCCTCTCTCTCACAGAGGCATGCGGCTGGCTGGGCGGGCGGGCTGCACCCCTCTAACTCCGCACAACTTATCTCCCTCCGCCCCAGGAAAATGAATCACGCAGCTCCCCCCGCGCCGCTTCCCCCGCGCCGGGCGGCGGTGGAATCACGGGGAGGGAGAAGCAGCCCTGGCCCCGGCGTGTGTGTGAGCGTGAGAGCGTGTGTGTGTGTGTGTGTGTGTGTGCCTGCGTGCGCGCAGCCAGCCTGCCCTGTCTCCTCTTTTTTCTGTCAATGAATCCCTGAATGAACCTGCCTAATCGCCGCTGCAGCCCGAGCCCTTGGGCTTTTCCTCCGCTGCGAGTGAATGAAATCCAATTAACGCGCCGCCGAGCGGGGCTCCCCGGCTCAGCATGGAAGCGCTGCGGCGGTGGCGGCGGTGCCCCTTGCCTCGCGTTCCCCTCCTTGGCTGTGCCGTGCGGCGCTGCCCCTGGGCCGCCCGCAGCGCCCCTGGGCCGCGGCCCCGCGCAGCCGGCGGCTCCTCAATGGGCACCAGCGCGGCTCCGCTCAATGGATACATTCTCCGCCGCAGCCAATGGGGGCGCGCGGAAGGGGCTGTTGCCGCGGCGACGGGCCGGCTGGAACAGGTTGTGTTGATGAATCGTTAATGAGTTTGTCATTCACAAAAACGGAAAGGAATTTCCGCTCCGGATAAGCCGAGTGCAAACAAGCGGCAGCCGCGGCGCGGCGGGCGGGGGCGGCGGGGGCAGGTGAGGGGGCGCGGCCCGGCGCTCCCCCCTTCTCTCCGCCGGCACCAGCCGCGGGGCGGCCGTCGCTGCCGGCGGAACAAATGGCACTTTTTCTTTTCTCTCCCCCCTTCTCCATATTTTCGCTCCCTAAGTCATACCCCGCGGGGGCCGGCCGTGTTCCCCCCAGTTCCCCCGAGCTGATCGTGGCCCGGCTTTTCACTAGGGCGTTCTGCGAATCCCATTTTTAGGGAGGCGGGTAGGCTCTGTCCTCGGTTGATCCCTACGGGGGTGAAGAGTAAACCCCGAGTTAATCTCTTCCTACGCGGCCCGGCTTTATTCGCTGCACGCAGCGCAGCCGGGGAGCCGGCCCCTCCGCAGGGACAGCCCGCAGGCGCTCCTGCTGCAGCCCGGGCGGGCCACCCCGCAAACGTGAGCAGGGAAAGTGGCCCGGCCGGCTCCTCCGGGCAGCCTGTGACTGGACCGCGCTCGCCCGGCCGCGGCTGAGCCCGCCGCCAGCAAGGAGCCCGCAGCCACCCGCGGGGCTCGGGGGGGCGCCGGGGCCGCCGCCAGCACGGCGGGGTGCGGAGCGGCCCCTCGCACCTGGCAGCGCCCGCGCTGGCCGCCCCGGCCGCCGCACCGGCTCCTCCTGCGGGTGGGGCCCCGCCGGCAGCGTCCTGCGCTTCCCCCGGTCCGGCCGGGCGGAAGGGAGCCGCGGCCCCGCCGCACCGGGAGGCCGAGGGGGGAAGGGCCGCGGTGCCCGTCGGAGCGGCGCCGGGGAGCAGGGGACGGGGGCGACCTGGGGCCGTGGGGTGGGGGCGCCGCGGGGCCGGAGGCTGAGGCGGGAGTGGTGGTTCCAAGGTGCGGGTTAGCAAATGGGTAAGAGAAAAGCGAGAGGCGACAATAAATCAGGAGAAGCCTGGCCTAAATGCTAATCCTGCCACCAACATCTGCTTTGAAGTAAAATTGTTCGGGAGAGGCTAATCTCTCTTCCACTACTACTGCCCTTCAGGGCTCACTGTTTTTAACCCCAGCTGAAGGAGGTTCTTTAGGTAGTGAGTGGCTGGAGAGTGTGACCCTGGGAACAGATAGTTGCATGGGCAGTCCTGTGTGTTCCACAAAGAAAATACCCGTGATGTTAATTAAGGTTGGCACATCAGTCGCTGCAGTTTCCAGCAAGGCTGACACCCAGATGGCATTAACGACGTCCTCCCCAGCAGGGATTTTGAGAGGATCCCTTCTTGCTGCCTTTTTCAGAGGCTTGAAAGTGGGACTGGAATATTACACAAACCTTGCCTCGCCCCTTAGTAATGAGATTTCCTTGAACTGATATTCACCTCACTGGGCACATCACACACCATATCCCAAGGCTCAGCAAGGGCAACTTGTCCAGCTCACCTTGCCCACTATGGACCTGTCCTCTCCCGTTAAAGACTTTCCACCCTGTTCTTACCAGGTGCTTCATTTGCTGCTCTGATATGTTCAGAGTATAATGTTTAAATGTCCAGAGCAGTGGCAGAGCAAACTAGAAAGCAGAAGCCTTTGGTTTTATTTATTTAAGCATTTTTTGTGTGAGATACCTGCCTAGTAGTATAAAAACACTATTACAATATGTAATGATAGCATTTCAAGATATTTTTTACCATTAGTACTCTCAGTTTTGATGAAAATACTATGTATGTTCAAGGGTAAGTGTATGAAGGCATTAAGATGTTAGATGAAGCATACTCCAGAGAGTTGTATTTCCGAAGTGGAGCTGGAGACAAACTTGTAGTGGTGGTAGCCATAGCCTGCTCATTGCATGGCATCAGTCTGAGGGTTGCATTTGGTCATCTGGGACCCAGGCAGGAGATTTTGCACTGCAGCAGAGATAAATCAATGAAATAGAAACACCTCCCTCAGCACACACCAGCTGAAGACCTCTAAAGGAGAATGAGAGCTATGTGCCACCTTGTTGTTTTTCTGTTTGCATGCATGTATGCACTCCCTTTTCTCTTTCTGTCTGAACCACCCTGTCCTGTCAGTCACTGAGGGATGCTGGAGCAGATTCAGTTAACCATGCTACCATCTGATGCTTTGTCAGAGACCAGATGTACAACCCAAGCTTCTCCAGGAGACCAATTATCCTTCAACTTCCAGAAGTTTTTGTAGTACCTGAGAGTGAGAAGAGCCTATTCCTGTCAGCCATGATCCCTTCATTCACCCAGCCTCTAGCAGTTAGGTTTTCAACTCTGAAATGTTTATTTTTGAATGGGGAGGGACATGTGTTTATTTAATTTTTTTTATTTTTGTTTTTGTTTTTTCACTTCCTTGTCAGTAAATAAGACTTCTTCAGTCCAGCTCGAAGCTTATTAGTAACAAATAGCCTATTTTGCTGGCTTTTAGGCCACTTTCCTCATTTGTAGCATGTGTGTTTAGACCACTTTCTTCATTTGTAGCACTTTCCTCATTTGTAGCATCTCCATGAGTGCCTATGACCTGAGCTTCTCTTGGCCAGACATGTCAGACAAGAGCATTGCATGGATGACAATGATTAAAATTTTGGTTTGCTCAATTCTGTCATTTCTCTCCCTGTAATAGAAGCCCTGGCCCTGAATTAGACAGACAGGCTATCTACATAGTGTAATGGGAGAGAGAAGTACCAAAAAGGCAGGTATCTATGACATTTTGAAACCAGGCCAACTGGGTCACTCTGAGACACTTCACAGTCTGGAATACTAAGGCAGGAATGTAGAGGCATCCTCAGAAGACAAGGAATTGATGAAGTTTCTTATTGCATTAGACATCAGGGATGAGACTTTTTTTTTTTTTTTTTAATAGGGGCCTTCTTCCTCTAAAGATTTAGCTTCATGCTTCTCTTCTACTTAATTGGAGCAGAATTTTATGGAGTCTGTCTTTCTATGACAAGATGGGGCATAACATATATAGGAAAGGGTTTTCTGCTTCTTTGTTCACTCCTTTCCCATGTTGCATTAATCAATATTTACGAGAGCAGGGACTCCAGCCTTCATTGTCCACGTCCCACTGATGATCTGAATCCAAATAGCAGAGACACCTTCTGTATCTGCAGTGTTTAACTTCAGGCAAGCAAAGAACATTCTGGGACTGCCTGCTGGAGAAGGCCAAGGAGCATAACACATGCTGGCATCAGGATTTTGGGTGAGATGCCAATTCAACTCAACTCTGGAAGTGCAAGAGCTTGGAAAATGTAGTCAAGAGAGGTTTCTCCACTGGCAGGTCATACTTAGGTATGGACTTTGAGGATCATGACTCTCAGCTTTGACTGAACCAGCAAATGACGGTGATTCAGCTAAAAAGTCATTTAGCCTTAGATACTGGAAGTTAGAGGTTCACATTTTAACCTACTTTTTCTCTCATTTACCACTTTCAGAAGGTCTTCAGAGAGGGCAAGCTGCGCTCTCGAACTGCTCAGTTCCCTTTGCTGTCTCTAAATTGTGCCTGGTGGAACTTGTAATTGTTTTAGGTGGAACATAAAAGCCTGTACTTTTACATGCTTACCTTGCAATCTGATTTTCACCTTCAGGTTTATCTCTAAGTCCTTTATACGGCTCCTTTAGTTTCAGTAAAAGTGAAAAATCAATGTATGTCTGTGTTGGTTTCTGTGAATGATCTGTTTGAAAATAGAAATACACAAATCATCCCAGACCAAATTGTCTATAAAGTGGAGTACCATTGGTGTAAGAGTGGTTAGTGCAAGGTGTCTCAAAAGAGAACAAAAGTGTCCTATAAAACATTTTATTTATGTAAAGCACAAACAATTTATGGAAATGACATTAACTGGTTATTCAATGTCCAATTATTCACATCTAAAATAATCCCTGAAGTTAGAGAAATAAAACACTTGAATGACTCCATTTAGGAAATCCTTTTGACTCAAGTGCTTTCCTTGAAACAGCAAATAGGTGGATGACTTCAAGCACATATTTAATTGTGCCTTGTAATAAAGTAATGTAATTAGCAATTACTTAGGAATGATGCTTTAAAATACTTAACAGCTACCACAGACATGCATTTTTTTAGGAGGACTCCTTGTGGTATAAACAAGGCTCCCTTCTGAATGCAGCTCGTGAGTTCTCCAAATTGTTCCTTAGGGTGTGCAAAGGTGAGCAGTTCTGTTTGACAGCAGATCACTGCTGGCTGTTGGATTCTCTTCTTAGAAGATAAAACTAAGCTTGTAGAGGGCAGTGCAAGGCACACATTTAGCAAGACTTGAAGTGTATTGGCCAAGCACAGAGGCAAGTGCTGTAATATTTTTTTATTCTTTT